GAGCCAGACCAGATGAGTGCCCCAGAACCGACCCTTTCATTTAGACATCGGGAGCCCTCGCACCCCCACCTTCTTAAACTTCTGACCTCAGGTGATCCGCCCGCCTCGGCCTCACAAAGTGCTATAATTACAGGCATGAGCTACCGCGCCCAGCCTCCTTTGCCTCTTCTTGTGGCCATGCCTGACGGACCATCTGACTATCTCATAATATGTGTGTGTGTGTATATATATACGCACACACATACACACGCACAACACAAACCTTACACCAGGCCACCTGGGCTCTTTTTTCAGGAATCTATGTCAACATGAGTAGTGACACCCAGCAAATCCTGGCAGACAGTCACTGTTTACACTGACTGGAAACAAATTCACACTTTCAACGAGTGGGACAGGAGGAGCAAGTGCCTAAGAAGTGTTGGGTCTTGGTGTCTGGAAAAGCCACATGTCCCGGAATCCTGCCCGTTGGGTTGGTCCACATTACTGTGTGGGAAAAGCGACTTGAGGGGTCCTCCCTCATGAGGAAAAGCGGATGCCCCTTGCCTTAGCGTAAGATGGATGAACTGATGCTTCTCTCCTGACCCCACTCTTCCAGCTGAGAACCATCACAAGGGAAGGGGCAGTTCTACAGGTGAAGACTGGAAAGGAAGAATGAGTGAGAGGGTGGGACCCCAGAGGTAAATCCTAAAGGCTGAGAGTAACTAAGGGGCTTTGGGTAGCCTGAGGGTCCTAGAGGCACAGGGCTCTTGGAGCTGGAAAGGGAATAGAGCCAGAGCCGGATGAGTGCCCAGAACCACCTTGTCAATTTAGACATCGGGAGTCTCCTCTTGCACCCGCCTCCGAATCCGCTCTTCTGAATTTCAGGGTGGAAGGAAAACTGTCTTTCTGTGACAGCATCTTCCCCTCTTTGGAAATCTTATTTGACATGATTATCTGACCCATGTTCCCTGTGTTTATAACATTCATGTGGTCAGTTCAACGTGTTTAAGCTTCTATCCAGAGCCAAGCTCTGCTTAGAGTAACAAGGTAACACCCTAGGTGGCCCTGGTGGGGTTGCAGCAAGAACCAGCTTCTCTTGGAGACACACCCAAGGAGCTTGACTTCCCTCGGCCCCCGCCCCACTGCTCACCCAAGCTGGGATTCCCCACTCTCTACCTCGTTTCCGTCTCACTTTGCTGCTAAACCAGCCACAATAAATCAAGAATCTGGAGTCTGCAAAGAAAAGAATCAGGGAATCTCTATGAAAAATTAGCAGAAGGGGTGTTCGGGGACATTTTTTATTACGCATGAAGACACTCTCAGTAGGGCGTATGATTATTTTGATTCTAATGCTGATATTCTCCCATTACAGTGAAAGCTAATTTTGTAGTTCGAAGTGGTTGATACCACGGACTTCCATGATACCTGACATGGCTAAGAGCCAAATTTCATCTTTGCCCAAAGGTGACCAGGCTCCTGAATGATCATATGACCATTTGCAGTCTGAACAGGTATTTATGACTCCAGACTTCTCTTTCTAAGACTCTATCAAGAGAGAGATTTTGGGAAAGTTTTGGTTTATGATAATGAAGTGTCAGGCTGAGGATGTGCCCCCAAGTCCCTTCCTTCTTTACAAACCCACAATGGATTAATCATCCATGAATCTGTGTCTTTGTAAAGAATTCATCTAGTTTTTTATTCTTTGATTTATCTTTTGGGATAAAACTCATTTTTCCCCATGGACAGACAGTTTAGAGACTGGAAAGAACAAAAGAGATAGCTCTTTGAGAATGATTTAGTATAATTTATTAAGATAAGTGTTGCTTTGTGTATACAAATATACCCAGGCAGCGGTAAAAACAGCATGGAAATGAAGGCAACCTTAGAGGCATTTCAAGAAGGTCTAACTATTTTGACTCCATTTCGTTGAGGTCGTGACTTGAATTGTAATCAACATAGAAGGCTGCATGGTTATTATTTTTGTTGGTGATGATTAAATGCAGGCAGAATCACAAACAAACTGTAGGAATGTAAAATACTCACAGGCAGGTGATAGGTTCAGGTCATGCTTGTGTCCTGTTAGTCAGTGGCAGACAGAAGGGGAAAGCTTACCTACAGCAGTTACCTGCAGCAGCTGCCAGAGGCAGGTGCCTCGCCTAGCAGCAGCATTGCTTCTGGCAGCAGCACTTCTGCTGGCAACAGCCCTTCTGCTGGCAACAGCCCTTCCCACAGCCACAGCCACACGAGCTGCAGGTGCGGCGGCAGCAGCAGATCACGGGCATGCTACAGCAGCCTCCACAGCAGCCGCGGCAGCAGGGGCAGCAGCTGGAGCAGCAGCCCACCCGGTAGCACCTGTAGGTGGTGCAGCTGCCACAGCCACCACCACAGCCACCACAGCCACCACCGCAGCCACCACCGCAGCCACCACAGCCACCACCGCAGCCACCACCACAACCACCACAACTTCCACAACCACAGCAACCCATGGTGTCAGCAGAGAGGATTCAGGAGAAGTGAGGAGGGAGGACTCAGGAGAGGTGAGGAGGTCTGATGCCTCCTTCTGCTGGGGGAGGCCCTTATGTACCAACTCTGGAGACAGGAGAGGGAAGACACATGACCACTTCCTTGTTGTCATTTGACTTGATGTACATGGAGAAATCTCTCCATCTCATATTGATTTTCCTTTCAGACATCTTTGTCTTCACTACATTTTCGGTTTTGTTTATTTTTTTCGTAAAACTGTATTCCAGTATAAGTTAAAAAGGCCTAAAAGTTCTAGGGAAGCATTCTGGGAGCTTAGGTGTGGTGAGGCTGTCCTTAGCCATGATGGCCTTCTCCTTCTTCCTAAGATGCCCTGGGATTATGTGGCAAGTGCATAGGTCCATGAGTTGTTACAGGGCTTACAAACCCCACAAAGCACCAGGCAGCCCCTGGACCAAACAATCCGAGAGCTTCACAGCGACAGGTGCAGTGATATTGAAGGCACAGTCCCTGACTTCAAAGGGCTTGCAATAGTAAGTAACCCCGCTAGCTGGGAGGTGTAAATGGCAGCAGATTCAAAGGTCACTGCCAAAGTCAGATGCCATCGTCCCATTTATTGGCCAGTGAAGGCACCGATGCTGCTCCTTCGCTCCTCATTTGAAGCACATCATTGTGATTTGTCTTCTGCACACGAGGTCTTAATGCTTATTTCAAAGGCAGAAATCAATCCTTTTAGGAGTCTGCATTTTGGTGATGTAATTCTTGGTCTGGTTCACTGTAACCTCTGCCTCCCAGGTTCAAGCGATTCTCCTGCCTCAGCCTCCTGAGTAGCTGGGATTACAGGCATGTGCTATGATACCTGGTTGATTTTTGTATTTTTAGTAGAAACAGAGTTTCATCATGTTGGCCAGGCTGGTCTCGAACTCCTGAGTTCAAGCAATCCTCCTGTCTCGGCCTCCCAAAGTGTTGGGATTACAGACGTGAGCCACTGTGCCCCACCAGGAATTCATTTTTGTCCTTGATTCGGTGATGTCAATTGATGGCTAACAGAAACAAGTCTGTGCTAAACAGCCTGGCCTGGGCTCCCTAGAGAATAAGCTCTTGGGCTATTTAGAGAGCACAGAGTGGGAACATCGAGGGACGCATGGTCCAGAGGTCAGAGAAGCTTGCTGAGCTGAATGAAGGCCCTGCATGGGAAGGAAAGGAGTTTATGGCTCCAAGGAGAAGCCTGTGTCTGTGGACACGGTTTGTGGATCACAAACTTCATAAGAGTTTGTGACCAACAAAAAGTCTGTAAAAAAGGCAAGAAAAATATGAGTGCAAGCAGGGTCTTCTCCATGCGTGCTGAGGTAGAGGCTTCTGGCAATCAGTCAGTGCTCAGCAGCCAGCAGCCAGCATCTCTGCTGCAGACGAGATCATCCTCCAATTCATTTTGTAACAGGTTCGCTGCCCAACGCCTGTTTTCCCGACTTGGTAAAATTGTTCTTCAGAAATTTGAGCAAGAGAAAGTGCTGCCACGTCCCTATGGCTGATTAGAGTTGTTTATTAATGACTGCAAGCTGTCCCTGTGGTATTTGGAGTAAACAGAGCATTTTCAACTTGTCAGGGAGTTGCTTGAACTGGGATCGTGGGGACAGTGGAGCTACAGATACTTGAATAGGTTTGAAGTTATTAATGAGGCAGAAGCAACAGAATTTGGTGAAAGACTAGAAATGGAACTAAGAGAAAAGAAAGATTCAAAGATAATTTTTAACATGGATTCGTACCTTGATGGATATGGAGCAGTGCAGGAAAAACGCAGTTTTTTTTTCTGGTGGATAGTTGGTGATCAGGCAGGGAGAATTATGACTTGAGTCTGGAGCATGTGACACTGGAGATGTCTCTGAAACCCCAAAGGGAGAAGATGGAATGGAGAGTGGCTATTGATGGATTTTGTAGTCTGCAGGAGAGTCTGAGCTGGAGGCTTTCCGTGGAGAAACTAACCAGGGAATACACATGTGGAAATCTACACGGTGGGTGTGAATGTGAACAATCCCGGAGGGAGGACAGAGCGAGAAGAGAAGGGAGTGTTGCTTCAAGCCTTATCATGGACAATAGTGAGGAAAACAAAAAAGAAAAAAGTCATTTACTACAAAGATCCCTTCAGAAATATAGCTGGGAAGTGAGCACTTTTGCAAAAACGACATGTTTTATTTGGATGCTCTTATTTACTCTTTTGCATCTCGGGAGTTTCCAAGAAACCAGGGTGATTTCCTGGAGAGAAGCCATTGCAGAGAGATGGAAAAGCAGCTGGCAGCAACCTTGGGTTCCGGCTTAACCCGAAGTCTCAAGGATTCAACTGGTTTCTGAGAAAATGAAGATCCTCTCCTACATGTTAGCATCTCTTGGCTTGCTTTTAATCTGGTTTTAACAGAGACAAGTGAAAATGAGCAAACGTTTTGGGTCAAATATAGCCCATAAGGATGTAAACAAGGAATAATCCTAGATAACCTTATCATGGAAACTGCAGCAGCAACGAGGAAGTGACCACTGGTCATGTGTCCCGGGTCACTCCCTCTTCCTTTTCCTGAGATGGTACATAAGGGCCTCCCCCAGCAGAAGGAGGCATCAGACCTCCTCACCTCTCCTGAGTCCTCCCTCCTCACTTCTCCTGAGTCCTCTCTACTGACACCATGGGTTGCTGTGGTTGTGGAAGTTGTGGTGGCTGTGGTGGTGGCTGTGGTGGTGGCTGTGGTGGCTGCGGTGGTGGTTGTGGTGGTGGCTGTGGCAGCTGCACCACCTGCAGGTGCTACCGGGTGGGCTGCTGCTCCAGCTGCTGCCCCTGCTGCCGCGGCTTCTGTGGAGGCTGCTGTAGCACGCCCGTAATCTGCTGCTGCCGCCGCACCTGCAGCTCGTGTGGCTGTGGCTGTGGGAAGGGCTGTTGCCAGCAGAAGTGCTGCTGCCAGAAGCAATGCTGCTGCTAGGCAGGGCACGTGCCTCTGGGCAGGGGCTGCAGGTATCTGTCCTGTAGGTAAGACTCCCATCCTTCCCATCCTGTCTGGTCTCTCCCTCCTCTATGGTCTTGAACTCTGTTGCTGTGTTTGTTTGGTGTTTCATGTCTTTCCATCTGAAAAGCTACCAAACTCATAGGAACTATCTCATGGAAAAATAGGAGAGCGGTGCAGCACCTGTGTAACTGTCCAAGTAACTGACCTCAGGAAAATGAAATCACAACGCCTCGTGTTTGGTCTGACGGACATACTCACGCCTATGCAGCTCCGTCTCAGTTCCACTCTTCCCATCGGCATGCGGTGCTTCTTTGTTTTTTGCTTTCGTGTTCTTAGTTATCATGTAACCTTGTCCAAATTTCCTAACAAAATAAACTAAGTGCCCATAAAAAGTTCTCTTTTTTGCCTTTCTTCCATTTAATCACACTGAATTCTGGTTTGTCTGTTCAGAAACTGGAGAGGTATTTTATCTTTTTTATCTTTGAACAAAGCCTTTGAAACACTTGCGCCCTGGCTCACGCCTGTAATCCCATCACTTTGGGAGGCCAAGGCAGAAGAGTCCAGGAGTTCAAGACCAACTTGGGCAGCATGGGGAGACCCCCGTCTCTACAAAAAATACAAAAGTTAGCCAGGTGTGGTGGAGCGTGCCTGAAGTCTCAGCTACGCGGGAGGCTGGGGCAGGAAGATCACTTGAGCCTAGGAGGTTGAGGCTGCAGTGAGCCGAGATCACGCCACTGCACTCCAGTCTGGGTGACCCAGCAAGACCCTGACACACACACACACACACACACACACACACACACAAAACAATAACCAAAAAAAGAAAAAAAAGAAAGAAAAAATGAGAAACACTTGCTATGGCAGCAATGCAGCAAAGGATCATGTAAGAAGCTGCGGCCAGGCTTCTGGGGACCAGCCCTGCTCAGAGACACGTCACATTGCCCTGAAGTGTGTCTCCTTCCTTGGAGGTCCGGGGTCCCTGTTTTTGTTTGAGATAGAGTCTCGCTCTGTTCCTCAGGCTGGAGTGCAGTGGCACTGTCTCGGCTCACTGCAACCTCTGCCTCCTGGGTTAAGTGATTCTCCTGCCTCAGCCTCCCAAGTAGCTGGGATTACAGGCATGAGCCACCGTACCCAGCTGATTTTTGTATTTTTAGTAGAGACAGGGTTTTGCCACGTTGGCCAGGCTGGTCTCAAACTACTGACCTCAAGTGATCCACCCGCCTCAGCCTCCCAAAGTGCTGGGATTATAGGCGTGAGCCACAGGAGCCTGCCTGGGGCCTCTGTTTTATTGATGTAAGATGACACAGTCCTTCAGCAACAGACCCACATACCAAACTCAGGCGTTCCAATCAAGAACAAATATGGAATTTAATGGTGGGGTGAGCTCAGCTGGGTTTTGACGGATTTCTTTCATTCATATATTTCATATTCTTCTTTCTTCTTCCTCCCTTTCTCCTGTGTGTGAGGCTTTCTTCTTTTCCTTTTTTTCCATACACTGCAACATTTGGTGGAAGACATTTGAAACATTTTATTTATTGATTTATTCTTGAGACAGAGTCTTGCTCTGTCACTCAGGTTGGAGTGTAATGGCGCGATCTCGGTTCACTGCAAACTCTACCTCCCAGGGTCAAGCGATTCTTTTGCCTCAGCCTCCTGAGTAGCTGGGATTACAGGCACCTGCCCCCATACCTGGCTAATATTTATTGAAACATTTTAGAACCAAATACATTCAACTGTGAAAAAACTCTCCCAGTGACACCGTCTTCTCTACTCTCCTTAGTAAAATTAAGAAATGAAATCAGGGCCTAATAAAAGAAAACCCATGGGAAGGGGATTTTCAACCTTCTTTGAAGGACGAAGTCTTTTCTTCAACTGCTTTAATTTAATGAAGAGCATGTTGCTCTTTCCCTTCCCTTCTTTTTTTCTTGTTGATTATTTTCTCCAGCTTCCATACTTTTTCTGACTGTTGAGATTCTATGGTTTTCTTTGCTGTAGACTTTAGGCTGAGGAGATTTGGGATCAAGATGGTTTCATGTTTTCACACATTGATGCAGCCTCTCTGTTCAAAACAGGAAAAAGAAAGCTTGTTTTTGTGTTATATACACAGGATAGATATGTGTATATAACATATAAAAATAACAACATAGCTGAACTCAAAAACAAGACATCTATCTCTGGGGACCACAGACTGAAAATGTAAAATGCGGGGCTGAAGCTGTGGGCTTGCTGGGTTCTGGTTCACAGACATGACGTGCGTAGGATACAAGAGAGGCCAGATACCCCATGAGAGTGGGGATCAGAGCCAGTCTTGCTTTTGAAGATACGTGTCAGAGTGGGGCCCCCTTCATCTTGGAATAAACCTGCTGTCCTTTGCTGCCCGGGGCTGTGGCTTCTGAACTGCTAACCCCTTATACCAGGTGTCCCCAAACACCAGACCACAGACCAGGACTCACAGCAGGAGGTGAGTGGTGGGCAAGCGTGCAAAACTTCATTTGTATTTACACCCACAGCCGCTCCCCATCGCTCACATTACCACCCAAGCTCCGCCTCCTGTCAGATCAGCAGCCACAGGATTAGCTTCTCATAGGAGCACAAACCCTATTGTGAACTCCACATGTGAGGGATCTAGGTTGTACATACTTTATGAGAATCTAATGCTTGTTGATCTGTCACTGTCTCTCATCACCCTCAGATGAGACCATCTATTTGCAGGACAACAAGCTCAGGGCTCCCACTAATTCTACATTATAGTGAGTTGTACAATTATTTAATGATATATTACAGTGTAATCATAATAGAAATAAAACGCATTGTAAGTGTAATGTGCTTGAATCATCCTGAAACCATCTCCCCACTTCCCATGGAAAAATTGTCTTCTACAAAACCAGTCCCTGGTGCCAAAAAGTTGGGGACCACTGCCTTAGAGAGACTGGAGGATACAGATAGTCTTTTTTATTTTTTATTTTTTGGGACAGAGTCTCGCTCTGTCACCCAGGCTGGAGTGCAGTGGTGGGATCTCAGCTCACTGTATCCTCTGCTTCCCGGGTTCAAGCGATTCTCCTGTCTCAGTCTCCTGAGTAGCTGGGGTAAAATTATAGGTTCCTGCCACCACACCTGGCTAATTTTTTTTTTTTTTTTTTATTTTTAGTAGAGTTGGGGGTTCACCATGTTGGACAGGCTTGTCTCAAACTCCTGATCTCTGGTCATCTGCCTGCCTTGGCCTCCCAAAGTGCTGGAATTACAAACATGAGCCAACATGCCCAGCCCAGACACAGTCTTTAGACTACAGATTGACCTAAATCCTTTGCAGGCTTGAGAATAACCTATTATTATTCCCATTAGCACTATGGGATGGGGCCTGGGGATGGGACAGGAAAAGACAACCGCAAAACTGCTAGACAGGTAGAGGCAGGTGGTGCTGGATCAGGGTGTGTGTGTGAGAGTGGGGTGAGGAGAGAAAGTGACAGCAGTGGAAACAAAAACACCTTGCACCGAAAATTATGACACTGACGGACTTCATCGGCCCCGCATGGCTTCCTGAGCCCGGCTTCTTGATCATGATGAATCTCAGGCTTCTGATGCCCCTCGCTGCCTACCTGTAAGTAATCAACCTGCTTCATGTCATTCGTTGTGTGTGTGGGTGTGAGCCTCCCTGGACTCAGACAAATTGGTAATCAGTGCACAGTGAATCTGTTCCCCAAAACTGACATAGCAGGCAGGGTCCAGTCTGACAGAATCATGGCTTATTGGTGAAGCAAGGGGCAAAACCTCCCAGTACCTGGTTGAAGGTGGAGACGTCAGCCTGGGGGCACAAGAGCTGGACGGTACTGCTGGACATCTTATGGGTCAGGAGGGGTTATATGTGGGACTCCTGGATGTGAGTGAGCTGGCCATGGACTAAGGCTGCCAGAAAGGAATGTGGAAATGAGATCGTGGCACACGGGCCCCTGATTGTTGGGCACTGATGCGATCATTCATTCCTGGGGCTGGAGAGCTCAGGAAGAGAATGCTCAGGTGGACCCTGAGGCACCTGAGAAGGATGAGGAAAGGGGTACTCAGGTCCTGAGGCATCTGAGCAGGAACCAACCACGCAATGCAGGCTGCCACAGAAGGGGAGACTCTCTAGCTAAAGGACAGGTATGGAAATGGTTCAGAGATGCCTTATGTGGCCTGGTTGATGTGTTTGTTTGATAAAAAGACATTGCAGACCCAATGTCTTGGGCCGAACGGTGTGGTTGGAATGAGGCCAAGGTCGCTGGGTCTCCACTGGAGGTCAGTGGCGCTATACTCCTGTCCATACAGAAAGGGAAAGAAGGGGAATTCAGACGTTTCTGGGGTTCTTGGCTACTGGAATCCATATGGCAGTATTTCCAGGTCCCCTTAGGGGAAAAATTAACCTGGTGACATTGGGAGGTTTGAGGACAAACATGGTGACCTGTGGTGCTTATCTGTTTCCAGGTGGCGCCCTCAGGCCATTTTGGGTTCTGGAGACCACGGTTCCTACCACTTAGTGTATTATAAGCACTAACGTAGGCTGCTTGTGGCACAGACCATCACTGTGACCTGAGGGGGTATGGCCTCCTACAGCTAAGAATCTGAGCTGTAATAGTGGAACATAACCACTGCTGCTGGCTACCTAAGCTCCCAAACCTGATGGGTTATTCAACAAAAGCAGTACTACAAACTAAGAGAAAAAAAGTATATTACTTGTTTAAATCTGCATCAGTCAGGGTTCAACCTGAGAGACAGAACAAATAGGAGATATACATTAAGAAATTAATTTTAAAAAGTTGGCTTCCATGGTGTTGGAGGCTGATAAGGCAGTCCAAAATCCACAGGACAGGCCATCAGAAGGGGTGGGCTAGGACTCACAGGCATAGGCTGAAGCTCCTGAACACAGACTGACTCTCCCTCTCCAGAGGAACCTCAGCACTGCTGGTAAGGCCTTTCCCCTGATTGAATCGGGTCTACCCGGATTATTGAATCAGTTCCTCTAGGATTTTTTTTTTTTTTTTGAGATGGGATCTTGCTCTGTTGCCCAGGCTGGAGTGCAGTGGCACAATCTTGGCTCACTGCAAGCTCCGCTTCCCGGGTTCATGCCATTCTCCTGCCTCAGCCTCCTGAGTAGCTGGGACTACAGGCACTCGCCACCACGTCCAGCTAATTTTTTTTTTTATTTTTAGTAGAGACGAGGTTTCACCGTGTTAGCCAGGATGGTCTCCATCTCCTGACCTCATGATCTGCCCGCCTCGGCCTCCCAAAGTGCTGGGATTACAGGCTTGAGCCACCGCGCCCGGCCAGGATTGTATTGAAAATCAACTGATTACGGACTTCAATCACATCTGTAAAACGCTTCACAGCAACGCCGAGGTTCGTGCCCTTACATGGTCCCACTTTTTCGGTTTCCATGTTGTTCTGGGGGTGGACTTGAATGTGTTGAAACAGCATTTTGGGTTTCAGTTGCTCACTGAGGCCATGTAGATGGTTTGTTTCAATCTGTTCAATTAAATAATTTGATGGTACCCAGTTCACTGGCCAATGGATGTGGTCTTGAAGGGGCTCATGATGGTCCAGTCTTTCAAGGCACCCAGTTTCATCAATTATCAACTCATGGCCAATCTTGTTTCATCCATGCCCCAACCATTTACCCTTCCCCCCATGGGTTAATTTGAATCCCGTATCATATAATTTAATACTAGTTTTTAATTTAATGGTTAATATTTAATAAATATTTCAGTTTGTATTTTTAAAAATAAGGACCCAGAATGTAGAAATAAAGATTCAGAAAGAGTGTATTACAGGGTGG